AAGATAAAAAAAAATTATTTCATAAATCTTTGAAAATCTAAACTATCAGATGAAGTGATAAGTGGAATACAAGACGTACACAAGAACTAACAAAAATACGAGTAAAAGAAAAGAAGTCAATGGAAAAGAAGATGGGAAATATGGAGAGGAAAAAGAAAAAAACTCGAATATGAGGAAAAATAAATCAAAGAAGAAAAAATGGAATGTAAAGAGAACAAAAAGACAAAGAAGAGATAAATAAAAATAGAATAAAATAATATGATGTCTCAGTAGACGAAGATGATAAAGATAGAGAGTGAGGTGAATGATGAAGAAGAAAAAATGTAAAAAGAATGTAAAGAAAATTAGAAAGAAAAAGAAGAATAGTAAATTGGAGGATACGAAGACACAAGAAAGGATTGAAGAACAAAAATTTGAAAAAGAAGAAGCGGGAAAAAAAATGATGACAACGAATAAATAAACGGAAGAAAAAAGAAAAGATGGGATCAATGAAAAATAATAAGAGGTAGAAGAAACCAACCATTACCAAATTTAACTATTTTTTGTGCTTTCACAATTTATAAGTTCTTATCAAATTAACAAAATGTTAAGCTATTACTTCCATGGAAAATAAACACATTACAAAAATATGAAAAATAATTTAAAAAAAATGTGTTAATTTAATATTAATTGAATTCATGAATTAACAAAATCTAAACTATAGAATGAATTGATAAGTGAAATACAAAACGTAGACAAGAACGAAAAACAAGAATAGGAGAAAAGAAGACGATGGAAAACAAGATAGGAAACTTTGAGAGGAAGAAGAAAAAAAAAATGATGACAACGAATAAATAAACGGAAGAAAAAAAAAAGATGGGATCAATGAAAAATAATAAGAGGTAGAAGAAACCAACCATTACCAAACTTAACTATTTTTTTGTACTTTCACAATTTATAAGTTCTTATCAAATGAACAAAATGTTAAGCTATTACTTACATGGAAAATAAACACATTACAAAAATATGAAAAATAATTAAAAAGAAAATGTGTTAATCTAATATTAATTGAATTCATGAATTAAAAAAGTATAAACTATAGAATGAATTGATAAGTGAAATAAAAAACGTAGACAAGAACGAAAAACAAGAGTAAGAGAAAAGAAGACGATGGAAAACAAGATAGGAAACTTTGAGAGAAAGAAGAAAAATTTAACACGAGGAAAAAGAAAAAATGGAATGTGAAGAAAAAAAAGACAAAGAAGAGATAAATAAAAACTATAATAAGATGATGTGAGAGTAGACAAAGATGATAAAGATAGAGAGGGAGAGAGGAGGGGAATGAGGGAAAAGAAAAATCGGAAATAAAATGTAAAGAAAATTAGAACGTAAAAGAAGAATAGTGAGTTGGAGGATATAAAGGGACAAGAACCGATTGAAGAACAAAAATTGGAAGATGAAGAAGAAGCAGAAAAAAGAAAATGATGACAATCTATAAAAAATGAAAGAAAAAAGAAGAAGATAGGATCACTAGAGAAGAATAAAAGGGAGAAGAAAACAACAATTAAAAAAAACTTTTATAAATGAAATAAAAATAAAAGCAAATCTAAATCTAATTTGTAATATGAGGTTCAGGTGTGAAGTTGAGGGGGAGTTATAATGTGGATTTGTGGGTTTAGGGTGTAGGTTCTTTAATTTTGGGGGAGGAGGGATTTATAATGTGGAGTTTGGGTTTAGGGTTTATATTGATGGGTGTAGGGTTTAGATTTTGGTGCATTTTTAAAAATTTGAATTATTATAAAAATCACAATTATAAATCATTGATTATAACTTGATATCTACCTTTCAAAATTACATTCACAAATAGAAAAAAAACTATAACAATTAAAGCAAATCCAGAATCGAAAGATAACAAAGATTTTCAAAAGATCTCAACTATATAAAGATTAAAAAAAACTACATCATAAATCCTTGAAAATCTAAAGTATCAGATGAATTGATAGGTGGAATACAAGACGTACACAAGAACTAATAAAAATACGAGTAATAGAAAAGAAGTCAATGGAAAAGAAGATGGAAAATATGGAGAGGAAAAAGAAGAAAACTCGAATATGAGGAAAAATAAATCAAAGGAGAAAAAATGGAATGTAAAAGAGAAAAAAAGAGAAAGAAGAGATAATAAAAACTAGAATAATATGATGTCTCAGAAGACGAAGATGATAAAGCTAGAGAGTGAGGGGAATGAGGAAGAAGAAAAAACGTAAAAAGAATGTAAAGAAAATTAGAAAGAAAAAGAAGAATAGTAAGTTGGAGGATATGAAGACACAAGAAAAGATTGAAGAACGAAAATTTGAAAAAGAAGAAGCGGGAAAAAAAAGATGATGACAATGAATGAATAAATGGAAGAAAAAAAAGAAAATATGGGATCAGTAAAAAAGAATAAGAGGGAGAAGAAAACAACCATTACAAAATTTAACTAATTTTTTATGCTTTCACATTTTATAAGTTCTTATCAAATTAACAAAATGTAAAGCTATTACTTCCATGGAAAATAAACACATTACAAAAATATGAAAAGTAATTAAAAAGAAAACGCGTTAATCTAATATTAATTGAATTCATGAATTAACAAAATCTTAACTATCAAATGAATTGATAAGTGAAATACAAAACGTAGACAAGAATGAAAAACAAGAGTAAGAGAAAAGAAGACGATGGAAAACAAGATAGGAAACTTTGAGAGGAAGAAGAAAAATTTAACACGAGGAAAAAGAAAAAATGGAATGTGAAGAAAAAAAAGACAAAGAAGAGATAAATAAAAACTATAATAAGATGATGTCAAAGAAGACGAAGATGATAAAGATAGAGAGAGCGAGGGGGAATGAGGGAAAAGAAAAATCGGAAATAGAATGTAAAGAAAATAAGAAAGAAAAAGAAGAATATTGAGTTGGAGGATATAAAGACATAAGAACCGATTGAAGAACAAAAATTGGAAGATGAAGAAGAAGCATAAAAAAGAAGATGATAACAATGAATAAAAAATGGAAGAAAAAAGAAGAAGATAAAATAACCAGAGAAGAATAAAAAGGAGAAGAAAACAGCCATTAAAAAAAATTTATAAATAAAATAAAAGTAAAAGCAAATCTAAAACTAATTTTAATATGAGATTTAGGTGTGAAGTTGAAGGGAGTTATAATGTGGATTTTGGGTTTAGGGTGTATTCTTTAATTAGGGGGAGGAGGGGTTTATAATGTGGAGTTTTGAAACAACCAACATTTTTTTTTTTTTTAAATATTAATCAATTCTAGCGAAGGTCTTAAAAAAAATTAAATAAATAAAATATCAATAACAAATAAATCAGCTCAGCGGAAGCAAATAATAATTAAACAAGTCTAGCAAAATAATGCAAAACAATAAAACAGTAAACATCCTATCATCCCCCTCTTCAGCCTTGATTCCGCGATCACACAAATCTTTTACCTGCAACACATTGGAATGGAGTTGCGTAAGTATTTAATAAATACTTAGTGAGGCAATCACTCTGCCTACGAGCCATTTACGCAATTTACTAGATATTTAATAATATTTATAAACTTCAATAATTATTAAATACCATTTTCCAATTATTAAATAATTTTTAATAATTAAAACTCAATTTCTCAATTATTAAATAATTCTCATAATTAAATAATAATTTTCATATTTTAAAATAATTAAAATAATTATTTTAAACCAATTAATTAAATAAATATTATTTAATTAATTAAATCCGAATTAAATCTATTTAATTCCATTAAACCAATTAAATTCAATTAAACCAATATAAACCAATTAAATTCAATTGAACCAAGATAAACCAATTAAATCAATTAAATTCAATTAAACCAATAAACCAGATTAAACCACACAAACACACAATTCATCACATGAACAACCAAAATATCATAAAAATAACAATTAAAACATAAACTCATCAAGAACAACCACAAACCAAATCTAATCTAGCAAATCACGGACCCACAGTCATGCACTCACCTTGACAATTGATGAAACTGAAGGAAAAAGGAAGACGATGAACAGTGCCGAATCGCGGATGAACAGTAACCCGTGAACAGTACCGATGAACAGTAACCCGTGAACAGTACCGATGAACAGTATGAACAGTAAAATCGAAAATCTCTCCAAAAACTCAACTTTTCTCCTCTACAGCATCTGAACTCGAAAATTCTCCAAAGAGAAGACGGCTGCACTCTTTAAACTTGATTTTAGGGCTTTCTCCACTAAACCGACCCAAACCAATTCACTTAAATTGAACCGACAAAATTCCCAATTTTTATTTTTGGTTTATGGATGTTACAACTCTTCCCCACTAAACTGGATTCGTCCTCGAATCCCAACGCAAACGTCACAAAGACCACAAAACCCAACCTCGCAAGGCCGCAACACCGGAGATCCTCACTTGATCCCCGAGACAAACGTCATATCTTATGTCATAAACACGTTCCAAGAAAATTTCACTCCTAACTCATCATCCAAACACACCAAACAACTTGTACTGAGGCCCACTTGCACCCAGACAAGTCCACACCGGTCCGCACTGAGGCCCACTTGCACCCAGACGAACCCGAAAACGTCCATACTGAGGCCCACTTGCACCCAGATGAACTAAACTGCTTATACTGAGGCCTACTTGCACCCATATAAGCTACACTCAACTGAGGCCTACTTGCACCCAGAGAGTCTGCCAGAGAACGAAGTCTCCAAAAACATGATGAGTTATTCAGGATCGCAATCCTTAGAGTAAAAATTCCGGAAAATGTCTATAACCATAAGATTAGACCGTCTCACAACCAAAAACTGGTCAAACATGTGTAACATCCGAATACCTTTTCACAACACAAGGCAAAATGAGGAAAACTGCATCTCATTAAAACTCCAAAATGTAATCGTTACAACGAAAACGAAAATACAATAACACCAAAGCCAAAAATAACAACTGAGGCTACAAAGATGAAATAAGCTCACTCCTCGACCTGCTTGTCGAACCACTTCCTGAACTTCAACTTCATCTTTGCCTCTGGCTCCCAAGTCTCCTCTGTAGAACCACTGCAATCCCACAAAATCCTCAGTAAGGGAATCCTCTTGTTCCTCAGAACCTTTTCCCTCCTCTCTAAAATCCTCATAGGCACTGCCGGCACGGTCAAATCTGGCTGAAGATCCTCTGGAATCCTAGCCACTAACTCCTCTGTAGGGTGAAGACACTTCCTCAGCATCGACACATGAAAAACCTTGTGAAAGGCTTTCATAATCTCAGGCAACTCCAGCCTGTAAGCCAATGGCCCAACTCGCTCCACTACTGGAAACGGACCCATAAATCGCGGACTCAGCTTGTTCTCTGCTATGGATCTGTTAGGACCCCTCAACATAGCCATCTTGAGATAAACTCTATCTCCACCTGAAACTCAAGCTCTCGTCTGCGTCTATCTGCATAACTCTTCTGCCTATCCTGAGCCTCCTTCATGTTCAGCCTCACAACACGAACCTTCTCTGTCGTCTCCTGAACATAAGTAGCTCCATACATGCTGCGCTCCCCCACTTGGGTCCAGCATAGGGGTGTCCTACATGGCCTCCCATACAAAGCCTCAATGGAGCCATGCCAATACTCGCCTGAAAGCTGTTGTTGTATGCAAACTCAACTAAGCTCAGGTGATCTGCCCAATGGCCACCCCAATCCAACACACACATCCTCAGCAAATCCTCCAAAGTCTGAATAGTCCTCTCTGACTGACCATCTGTCTGCGGATGATAAGCTGTACTCAGATGCACCTTAGTGCCCATCTCTGCCTGAAACGCCCTCCAAAACTCTGAAGTGAATCTGGGATCACGGTCTGACACAATACTAGCTGGCACTCCATGCAGCCTCACAATCTCTCGCACAAACTTCCTAGCCAAGACAGCAGCTCCATCTGTCTTCTTGATGGCCAAGAAATGTGCAGACTTAGTCAACCGATCCACAATCACCCAGATAGCATCGAAAGTCCTCGAAACAGGTAGTCCAACCACGAAATCCATCGTAATCCTATCCCACTTCCACTCGGAATGGGTAAACTCTGCAAAAGACCACCCGGAACCTGATGCTCTGCCTTCACCAAGGCACAAGTGTTGCACTTCGCAACCCAGTCTGCTACATCCCTCTTCATCCCGACCCAATGATAGTACCTCTTGAGGTCATGGTACATCTTGGTCGCTCCCGGATGAATGGAAAACTTGCTCGCGTGAGCCTCTCCCAAAATCTGATGTCTCAACTCCACATCCTTAGGCACACAAACTCGCCCACGAACCAAGATAGTCCCATTCGCAGAGACCTCATACTCAGAACCAGTCACTCTCGTCGCATCTAGCAAACTCTGATCACTCTGCTGAGCAACTCTGATCCTGCTAAGTAGATCCGCCTGATCCACTGCCTCTAAACCCAAAGGCTCCTGCGAAATGGCACACAAACGCAAGGTACTGATCTCGCCAACTAGAGACTCCACATCTCGCTCAACTGCGGAATCATACCTCCGTCTACTCAACGCGTCCGCCACTAGGTTAGCCTTGCCCGGATGGTAGTTAATGCTCACCTGATAATCCGCCAAGAACTCAATCCAGCGCGTCTGTCTCGCGTTCATCATCGGCTGAGTGAAGATATGCTGCAAACTCTTGTGATCCGTGAAGACCTGTACTGTCTCACCTAGCAAGTAAGACCTCCAAATCTTCAACGCGAAGATCACTGCTCCCAACTCTAAGTCATGTGTAGGACGGTTACGCTCACTGCCCTGCCACTGTCTCGAAGCATATGCTATCACTCTGCCCTCCTGCATCAGCACACAACCAAGACCAATGCCTGAAGCATCTGTATACACCATGTAAGGCTTCCCTGGCTCGGGTAACGCCAACACTGGTGTAGTAGTCAACATCTCCTTGAGCTGACTAAAGCTCTCCTCACACTCAGCTGACCAAACAAAAGGGACATCCTTCCCGGTCAACTTCGTCATCGGCTGCGCCATGGTAGCAAACCCCTTGACGAACCTCCTGTAGTATCCTGCCAAACCCAGAAAACTCCTGATCTCGGTGGCACTACTAGGTCTAGGCCAATCTCTGATAGCCTCAATCTTAGCCGGATCCACAGAAACTCCCTCTGCAGAAACAATGTGGCCAAGAAATCCCATCTCTCGCTGCCAGAAACTGCACTTGCTCAACTTAGCAAAAAGCTTCTGCTCCCGAAGCTTCTCCAGAACCAACCTCAAGTGAGTCGCATGCTCCTCCTGACTCCTCGAGTATACCAGAATATCATCAATGAAAATGATGACGAACACATCCAAATACTCCCTGAACACGTCGTTCATCAATCTCATGAAGGCTGCCGGCGCGTTAGTCAAACCGAAAGGCATAACCACAAACTCAAAATGCCCATAACGCGTCCTGAAAGCAGTCTTCCTGACATCTGCCTCATCTATCGGGATCTGATGATACCCCGATGCCAAGTCAATCTTGGAGAACCAAGTAGCACCCCTCAACTGATCCAACAACTCATCAATCCTCGGGAGTGGGTACCTGTTCTTCACAGTGACTCGGTTAAGACCTCTGTAATCGATACAAAGTCTGAAACTCCATCCTTCTTCTTCACAAACAACACCGGTGCTCCCCACGGTGAAACACTTGGTCGAATGAACCCCTTAGACAAAAGGTCCTCTATCTGCTTCTTCAGCTCTGCCAACTCAGCTGGCGCCATCCTGTAAGGCGTCTTCGATATCGGTGCTGTCCCCGGCTCTAACTCAATCGTGAAAGGATCAGACCGAGATGGTGGTAATCCCTTCAGTGACTGAAAGACATCCTCAAAATCCTGGACAACCTCAATATCTCCCATAACAACTCCAGCTCCTGACTCAGACATAGAAATCGTCGCCAGATACGCCTCACAGCCCCGCTCTAACAACTGCTCGGCCTGAATAGCAGATATCACAATACTCCCGGAAGTCGGTCTCACTCCCTGATAAACCAACCTCCCTGCATCTCGCTCGAAGACCACTCTACCTCTGTAGCAATCCAGATGAACTCTGTAGTGTGACAACCAGTCCATCCCGAGAATAACGTCATACAGCTCCACCGGACTGATGACTAAGTCTGCTGGCATTGACTGCCCCGCAATCTCGATCTCGACTCCTCTAGCACGGCCCAAAGTAGACAAGAATCCACCTCCCGCCACCTTGACCATGCCCGCGCTCTCGCCCGCGCTACTCCGGATGCCACTCTTCTCGGCACGCTCCGGTGTAATGAAGCAATTCGATGCTCCAGAGTCGAATAAAACGTGGGACTCAAAACCGCCCACTAACAAGGTCCCTACACATTCAATTGCGTTGAGAACCTCCACAAGACTATCACAGATAAAAATGACTAACAGACAATACACAACAACAATTCTATACTAAGAATTTACAAAGTCTGAGTCGAAGATTTACCTGTGATCTGCCCGGTCTGACTAGTCCCGCCAGTCTCCACTGAAGAGTAACCCCGCGCGCCGGTGCAATCTGACCCAACGGCTGCACTGCTGCGATCTGACTCACTGGCTGAGCCGCTACTGGCTGAACCGAAGCCACCGACATACTCCGCAACTTAGGACACATGGGCTTGATATGCCCAGGCTCCTTGCAGTAGTAGCACACCCTCGGTGCTGACTCTCTCTTGGGACAACTCGAAACACGATGCTCCGTACTCCCACACCCAAAACGGAACCACGAGGAAACTGACTAGCACCAGAAAACTCCTCTCTACTCCTCTTCTGACCCTGCGCAGGCAAACCGCCCCTGCCAGAACCAGAACTGAAACTCGAACCACCTCTGCGCTGCTGCTGCTGCTGCTGTCGCGGCTGCTGATGCTGACCCCGAGGCTGGGTAGCAGAAGCAACTGCTGACGGCACAGCCACCGGACCAACTGGCCCACCAAGATCCGCCTCAACCGACGCGGCCAACTCTACCAGACTCGCCCTCGAAGTGTGCATACTACTCCTGCATAGAGTCCGAATATCCTTGCGAAGTCCCTCCAGAAATCTGTTCGTCAACTGATGCTCAGACCTCCATACCAAAGCCGCATGCACTAACAGACGGCTGAACTCCTCATCATACTCGCGTACAGAACGCGAACCCTGCTCAATGCCCATAAACCGCATCTGAAGACGATCACGAGCCTGCCTCGGGAAATACTTGGCGTTGAACTCCACAAGGAAGTCGCCCCAAGTCCAAAATGCCCTCCGGCCCACCGCGGCCTGCCACCACAAATGAGCATCGCCACTCAAATAGTGGACCGCTAACTCCACCCAGTACTCCTACGGACAACGGATCGAATGAAAGTTCCGCTCCACTCTCTGACGCCACGCGTCTGCCTCCTCTGGACCAACTCTACCCTCGAAGAAAGGCGTACCAATCCTCTGCATGTGGCCCATAAACTCCAAATAACTGGTCACACCCGCATCCACAGCCTCCGGCTGCGCAACGCTGCAGCAACATGCTGCACCTCTGCCACTGGCGGTACTCCTGGAGCCCCCTGTGGAACCACCGGCGGAAAACGAGCCAACAGCTGCGTCAGCAACCCCACCACTAAGTCATCACGACCCGGAGCCGGAGCGCCACCCCCACCCGGAGCAGCCCCCGCTCCCAAACCAACACTCGCACTGGCATCACCCGCCAACGGAACTGACTGGGTCACCGACGCAGTATGCACACTCGGTGCCGCACTCTCTCCCGACTCCTCCGGAAGTCCACGACCACGACCTCGGCCTGCTCGACCTCCAGCTCTACCACCAGCTCTGCCGCCACGGCCAACTCTGCCGCCACGACCTCTAGCACCGCGCCCTCTCGCGCCACGACCTCTAGGAGCTCCGTCCATCTCACTGCATGGACCCGAACATGAGCAACTAGACAATAACACAAAACACAAACACCAAAACTCACCGCGGAATCTCCTTTAGCTGAAGGGGATGATACTAAAGCCTAGCAATTCTAACAGTCCTAAAACCGTCTAGGCTCTGATACCAAAATGAAACAACCAACATTTTTTTTTTTTTAAAATATTAATCAATTCTAGCGAAGGTCTTAAAAAAAATTAAATAAATAAAATATCAATAACAAATAAATCAGCTCAGCGGAAGCAAATAATAATTAAACAAGTCTAGCAAAATAATGCAAAACAATAAAACAGTAAACATCCTATCATCCCCCTCTTCAGCCTTGATTCCGCGATCACACAAATCTTTTACCTGCAACACATTGGAATGGAGTTGCGTAAGTATTTAATAAATACTTAGTGAGGCAATCACTCTGCCTACGAGCCATTTACGCAATTTACTAGATATTTAATAATATTTATAAACTTCAATAATTATTAAATACCATTTTCCAATTATTAAATAATTTTTAATAATTAAAACTCAATTTCTCAATTATTAAATAATTCTCATAATTAAATAATAATTTTCCATATTTTAAAATAATTAAAATAATTATTTTAAACCAATTAATTAAATAAATATTATTTAATTAATTAAATCCGAATTAAATCTATTTAATTCATTAAACCAATTAAATTCAATTAAACCAATATAAACCAATTAAATTCAATTGAACCAAGATAAACCAGAATCAAATCAATTAAATTCAATTAAACCAATAAACCATATTAAACCACACAAACACACAATTCATCACATGAACAACCAAAATATCATGAAATAACAATTAAAACATAAACTCATCAAGAACAACCACAAACCAAATCTAATCTAGCAAATCACGGACCCACAGTCATGCACTCACCTTGACAATGATTGAAACTGAAGGAAAAAGGAAGACAATGAACAGTGCCGAATCGCGGATGAACAGTAACCCGTGAACAGTACCGATGAACAGTAACCCGATGAACAGTACCGATGAACAGTGCCGATGAACAGTAAAATTCGAAAATCTCTCCAAAAACTCAACTTTTCTCCTCTACAGCATCTGAACTCGAAAATTCTCCAAAGAGAAGACGGCTGCACTCTTTAAACTTGATTTTAGGGCTTTCTCCACTAAACCGACCCAAACCAATTCACTTAAATTGAACCGACAAAATTCCCAATTTTTATTTTTGGTTTATGGATGTTACAGTTTGGGTTTAGGGTTTGTATAGATGGGTGTAGGGTTTAGCTTTGGTACATTTTTAAAAATTTGAATTTTATAAAAGTATGTCAAAATTAAAAATCACTGATTATAAATTTATATCCACATTTCTAAAATACACTCACAAATAGAAAAATTAAAACAATTAAAGCATAAATAATGGAAAGATAACAACACAAATTATTTTTAAAAGATCTCGACTATATAAATGTAAAAACTATTTTACGAATCCTTGAAAATCTAAACTACTGAATGAATTGATAAGAAATATAAGACGTAGACAAGATGAAACAACCAACATTTTTTTTTTTTAATAAATATTAATCAATTCTAGCGAAGGTCTTAAAAATAAATTAAATAAATAAAATATCAATAACAAATAAATCAGCTCAGCGGAAGCAAATAATAATTAAACAAGTCTAGCAAAATAATGCAAAACAATAAAACAGTAAACATCCTATCATCCCCCTCTTCAGCCTTGATTCCGCGATCACACAAATCTTTTACCTGCAACACATTGGAATGGAGTTGCGTAAGTATTTAATAAATACTTAGTGAGGCAATCACTCTGCCTACGAGCCATTTACGCAATTTACTAGATATTTAATAATATTTATAAACTTCAATAATTATTAAATACCATTTTCCAATTATTAAATAATTTTTAATAATTAAAACTCAATTTCTCAATTATTAAATAATTCTCATAATTAAATAATAATTTTCCATATTTTAAAATAATTAAAATAATTATTTTAAACCAATTAATTAAATAAATATTATTTAATTAATTAAATCCGAATTAAATCTATTTAATTCCATTAAACCAATTAAATTCAATTAAACCAATATAAACCAATTAAATTCAATTGAACCAAATAAACCAATTAAATTCAATTAAACCAATAAACCAGATTAAACCACACAAACACACAATTCATCACATGAACAACCAAAATATCATAAAAATAACAATTAAAACATAAACTCATCAAGAACAACCACAAACCAAATCTAATCTAGCAAATCACGGACCCACAGTCATGCACTCACCTTGACAATGATTGAAACTGAAGGAAAAAGGAAGACAATGAACAGTGCCGAATCGCGGATGAACAGTAACCCGTGAACAGTACCGATGAACAGTAACCCGTGAACAGTACGATGAACAGTACCCGATGAACAGTAAAATTCGAAAATCTCTCCAAAAACTCAACTTTTCTCCTCTACAGCATCTGAACTCGAAAATTCTCCAAAGAGAAGACGGCTGCACTCTTTAAACTTGATTTTAGGGCTTTCTCCACTAAACCGACCCAAACCAATTCACTTAAATTGAACCGACAAAATTCCCAATTTTTATTTTTGGTTTATGGATGTTACAACTCTCCCCACTAAACTGGATTCGTCCTCGAATCCCAACGCAAACGTCACAAAGACCACAAAACCCAACCTCGCAAGGCCGCAACACCGGAGATCCTCACTTGATCCCCGAGACAAACGTCATATCTTATGTCATAAACACGTTCCAAGAAAATTTCACTCCTAACTCATCATCCAAACACACCAAACAACTTGTACTGAGGCCCACTTGCACCCAGACAAGTCCACACCGGTCCGCACTGAGGCCCACTTGCACCCAGACGAACCCGAAAACGTCCATACTGAGGCCCACTTGCACCCAGATGAACTAAACTGCTTATACTGAGGCCTACTTGCACCCATATAAGCTACACTCAACTGAGGCCTACTTGCACCCAGAGAGTCTGCCAGAGAACGAAGTCTCCAAAAACATGATGAGTTATTCAGGATCGCAATCCTTAGAGTAAAAATTCCGGAAAATGTCTATAACCATAAGATTAGACCGTCTCACAACCAAAAACTGGTCAAACATGTGTAACATCCGAATACCTTTTCACAACACAAGGCAAAATGAGGAAAAACTGCATCTCATTAAAACTCCAAAATGTATATCGTTACAACGAAAACGAAAATACAATAACACCAAAGCCAAAAATAACAACTGAGGCTACAAAGATGAAATAAGCTCACTCCTCGACCTGCTTGTCGAACCACTTCCTGAACTTCAACTTCATCTTTGCCTCTGGCTCCCAAGTCTCCTCTGTAGAACCACTGCAATCCCACAAAATCCTCAGTAAGGGAATCCTCTTGTTCCTCAGAACCTTTTCCCTCCTCTCTAAAATCCTCATAGGCACTGCCGGCACTGTCAAATCTGGCTGAAGATCCTCTGGAATCCTAGCCACTAACTCCTCTGTAGGGTGAAGACACTTCCTCAGCATCGACACATGAAAAACCTTGTGAAAGGCTTTCATAATCTCAGGCAACTCCAGCCTGTAAGCCAATGGCCCAACTCGCTCCACTACTGGAAACGGACCCATAAATCGCGGACTCAGCTTGTTCTCTGCTATGGATCTGTTAGGACCCCTCAACATAGCCATCTTGAGATAAACTCTATCTCCAACCTGAAACTCAAGCTCTCGTCTGCGTCTATCTGCATAACTCTTCTGCCTATCCTGAGCCTCCTTCATGTTCAGCCTCACAACACGAACCTTCTCTGTCGTCTCCTGAACATAAGTAGCTCCATACATGCTGCGCTCCCCCACTTGGGTCCAGCATAGGGGTGTCCTACATGGCCTCCCATACAAAGCCTCAAATGGAGCCATGCCAATACTCGCCTGAAAGCTGTTGTTGTATGCAAACTCAACTAAGCTCAGGTGATCTGCCCAATGGCCACCCCAATCCAACACACACATCCTCAGCAAATCCTCCAAAGTCTGAATAGTCCTCTCTGACTGACCATCTGTCTGCGGATGATAAGCTGTACTCAGATGCACCTTAGTGCCCATCTCTGCCTGAAACGCCCTCCAAAACTCTGAAGTGAATCTGGGATCACGGTCTGACACAATACTAGCTGGCACTCCATGCAGCCTCACAATCTCTCGCACAAACTTCCTAGCCAAGACAGCAGCTCCATCTGTCTTCTTGATGGCCAAGAAATGTGCAGACTTAGTCAACCGATCCACAATCACCCAGATAGCATCGAAAGTCCTCGAAACAGGTAGTCCAACCACGAAATCCATCGTAATCCTGTCCCACTTCCACTCTGGAATGGGTAAACTCTGCAAAAGACCACCCGGAACCTGATGCTCTGCCTTCACCAAGGCACAAGTGTTGCACTTCGCAACCCAGTCTGCTACATCCCTCTTCATCCCGACCCAATGATAGTACCTCTTGAGGTCATGGTACATCTTGGTCGCTCCCGGATGAATGGAAAACTTGCTCGCGTGAGCCTCTCCCAAAATCTGATGTCTCAACTCCACATCCTTAGGCACACAAACTCGCCCACGAACCAAGATAGTCCCATTCGCAGAGACCTCATACTCAGAACCAGTCACTCTCGTCGCATCTAGCAAACTCTGATCACTCTGCTGAGCAACTCTGATCCTGCTAAGTAGATCCGCCTGATCCACTGCCTCTAAACCCAAAGGCTCCTGCGAAATGGCACACAAACGCAAGGTACTGATCTCGCCAACTAGAGACTCCACATCTCGCTCAACTGCGGAATCATACCTCCGTCTACTCAACGCGTCCGCCACTAGGTTAGCCTTGCCCGGATGGTAGTTAATGCTCACCTGATAATCCGCCAAGAACTCAACCCAGCGCGTCTGTCTCGCGTTCATCATCGGCTGAGTGAAGATATGCTGCAAACTCTTGTGATCCGTGAAGACCTGTACTGTCTCACCTAGCAAGTAAGACCTCCAAATCTTCAACGCGAAGATCACTGCTCCCAACTCTAAGTCATGTGTAGGACGGTTACGCTCACTGCCCTGCCACTGTCTCGAAGCATATGCTATCACTCTGCCCTCCTGCATCAGCACACAACCAAGACCAATGCCTGAAGCATCTGTATACACCATGTAAGGCTTCCCTGGCTCGGGTAACGCCAACACTGGTGTAGTAGTCAACATCTCCTTGAGCTGACTAAAGCTCTCCTCACACTCAGCTGACCAAAAAAAGGGACATCCTTCCCGGTCAACTTCGTCATCGGCTGCGCCATGGTAGCAAACCCCTTGACGAACCTCCTGTAGTATCCTGCCAAACCCAGAAAACTCCTGATCTCGGTGGCACTACTAGGTCTAGGCCAATCTCTGATAGCCTCAATCTTAGCCGGATCCACAGAAACTCCCTCTGCAGAAACAATGTGGCCAAGAAATCCCATCTCTCGCTGCCAGAAACTGCACTTGCTCAACTTAGCAAAAAGCTTCTGCTCCCGAAGCTTCTCCAGAACCAACCTCAAGTGAGTCGCATGCTCCTCCTGACTCCTCGAGTATACCAGAATATCATCAATGAAAATGATGACGAACACGTCCAAATACTCCCTGAACACGTCGTTCATCAATCTCATGAAGGCTGCCGGCGCGTTAGTCAAACCGAAAGGCATAACCACAAACTCAAAATGCCCATAACGCGTCCTGAAAGCAGTCTTCCTGACATCTGCCTCATCTATCGGGATCTGATGATACCCCGATGCCAAGTCAATCTTGGAGAACCAAGTAGCACCCCTCAACTGATCCAACAACTCATCAATCCTCGGGAGTGGGTACCTGTTCTTCACAGTGACTCGGTTAAGACCTCTGTAATCGATACAAAGTCTGAAACTGCCATCCTTCTTCTTCACAAACAACACCGGTGCTCCCCACGGTGAAACACTTGGTCGAATGAACCCCTTAGACAAAAGGTCCTCTATCTGCTTCTTCAGCTCTGCCAACTCAGCTGGCGCCATCCTGTAAGGCGTCTTCGATATCGGTGCTGTCCCCGGCTCTAACTCAATCGTGAAAGGATCAGACCGAGATGGTGGTAATCCCTTCAGTGACTGAAAGACATCCTCAAAATCCTGGACAACCTCAATATCTCCCATAACAACTCCAGCTCCTGACTCAGACATAGAAATCGTCGCCAGATACGCCTCACAGCCCCGCACTAACAACTGCTCGGCCTGAATAGCAGATATCACAATACTCCCGGAAGTCGGTCTCACTCCCTGATAAACCAACCTCCCTGCATCTCGCTCGAAGACCACTCTACCTCTGTAGCAATCCAGATGAACTCTGTAGTGTGACAACCAGTCCATCCCGAGAATAACGTCATACAGCTCCACCGGACTGATGACTAAGTCTGCTGGCATTGACTGCCCCGCAATCTCGATCTCGACTCCTCTAGCACGGCCCAAAGTAGACAAGAATCCACCTCCCGCCACCTTGACCATGCCCGCGCTCTCGCCCGCGCTACTCCGGATGCCACTCTTCTCGGCACGCTCCGGTGTAATGAAGCAATTCGATGCTCCAGAGTCGAATAAAACGTGGGACTCAAAACCGCCCACTAACAAGGTCCCTACACATTCAATTGCGTTGAGAACCTCCACAAACTATCACAGATAAAAATGACTAACAGACAATACACAACAACAATTCTATACTAAGAATTTACAAAGTCTGAGTCGAAGATTTACCTGTGATCTGTCCGGTCTGACTAGTCCCGCCAGTCTCCACCGAAGAGTAACCCCGCGGCGCCGGTGCAATCTGACCCAACGGCTGCACTGCTGCGATCTGACTCACTGGCTGAGCCGCTACTGGCTGAACCGAAGCCACCGACATACTCCGCAACTTAGGACACATGGGCTTGATATGCCCAGGCTCCTTGCAGTAGTAGCACACCCTCGGTGCTGACTCTCTCTTGGGACAACTCGAAACACGATGCTCCGTGCTCCCACACCCAAAACAGGAACCACGAGGAAACTGACTAGCACCAGAAAACTCCTCTCTACTCCTCTTCTGACCCTGCGCAGGCAAACCGCCCCTGCCAGAACCAGAACTGAAACTCGAACCACCTCTGCGCTGCTGCTGCTGCTGCTGTCGCGGCTGCTGATGCTGACCCCGAGGCTGGGTAGCAGAAGCAACTGCTGACGGCACAGCCACCGGACCAACTGGCCCACCAAGATCCGCCTCAACCGACGCGGCCAACTCTACCAGACTCGCCCTCGAAGTGTGCATACTACTCCTGCATAGAGTCCGAATATCCTTGCGAAGTCCCTCCAGAAATCTGTTCGTCAACTGATGCTCAGACTCCATACCAAAGCCCGCATGCACTAACAGACGGCTGAACTCCTCATCATACTCGCGTACAGAACGCGAACCCTGCTCAATGCCCATAAACCGCATCTGAAGACGATCACGAGCCTGCCTCGGGAAATACTTGGCGTTGAACTCCACAAGGAAGTCGCCCCAAGTCCAAAATGCCCTCCGGCCCACCGCGGCCTGCCACCACAAATGAGCATCGCCACTCAAATAGTGGACCGCTAACTCCACCCAGTACTCTATCGGACAACGGATCGAATGAAAGTTCCGCTCCACTCTCTGACGCCACGCGTCTGCCTCCTCTGGACCAACTCTACCCTCGAAGAAAGGCGTACCAATCTTCTGCATGTGGCCCATAAACTCCAAATAACTGGTCACACCCGCATCCACAGCCTCCGGCTGCGCAACGCCTGCAGCAACATGCTGCACCTCTGCCACTGGCGGTACTCCTGGAGCCCCCTGTGGAACCACCGGCGGAAAACGAGCCAACAGCTGCGTCAGCAAACCCACCACTAAGTCATCATGACCCGGAGCCGGAGCGCCACCCCCACCCGGAGCAGCCCCCGCTCCCAAACCAACACTCGCACTGGCATCACCCGCCAACGGAACTGACTGGGTCACCGACGCAGTATGCACACTCGGTGCCGCACTCTCTCCCGACTCCTCCGGAAGTCCACGACCACGACCTCGGCCTGCTCGACCTCCAGCTCTACCACCAGCTCTGCCGCCACGGCCAACTCTGCCGCCACGACCTCTAGCACCGCGCCCTCTCGCGCCACGACCTCTAGGAGCTCCGTCCATCTCACTGCATGGACCCGAACATGAGCAACTAGACAATAACACAAAACACAAACACCAATAACTCACCGCGGAATCTCCTTTAGCTGAAGGGGATGATACTAAGCCTAGCAATTCTAGCTGTCCTAAAACCGTCTAGGCTCTGATACCAAAATGAAACAACCAACATTTTTTTTTTTTTATAAATATTAATCAATTCTAGCGAAGGTCTTAAAAATAAATTAAATAAATAAAATATCAATAACAAATAAATCAGCTCAGCGGAAGCAAATAATAATTAAACAAGTCTAGCAAAATAATGCAAAACAATAAAACAGTAAACATCCTATCATCCCCCTCTTCAGCCTTGATTCCGCGATCACACAAATCTTTTACCTGCAACACATTGGAATGGAGTTGCGTAAGTATTTAATAAATACTTAGTGAGGCAATCACTCTGCCTACGAGCCATTTACGCAATTTACTAGATATTTAATAATATTTATAAACTCCAATAATTATTAAATACCATTTTCCAATTATTAAATAATTTTTAATAATTAAAACTCAATTTCTCAATTATTAAATAATTCTCATAATTAAATAATAATTTTCCATATTTTAAAATAATTAAAATAATTATTTTAAACCAATTAATTAAATAAATATTATTTAATTAATTAAATCCGAATTAAATCTATTTAATTCCATTAAACCAATTAAATTCAATTAAACCAATATAAACCAATTAAATTCAATTGAACCAAGATAAACCAATTAAATCAATTAAATTCAATTAAACCAATAAACCAGATTAAACCACACAAACACACAATTCATCACATGAACAACCAAAATATCATGAAATAACAATTAAAACATAAACTCATCAAGAACAACCACAAACCAAATCTAATCTAGCAAATCACGGACCCACAGTCATGCACTCACCTTGACAATGATTGAAACTGAAGGAAAAAGGAAAGACGATGAACAGTGCCGAATCGCGGATGAACAGTAACCGTGAACAGTACCGATGAACAGTAACCCGTGAACAGTACGATGAACAGTAACCCGTGAACAGTACCGATGAACAGTACCGATGAACAGTACCGATGAACAGTAAAATTCGAAAATCTCTCCAAAAACTCAACTTTTCTCCTCTACAGCATCTGAACTCGAAAATTCTCCAAAGAGAAGACGGCTGCACTCTTTAAACTTGATTTTAGGGCTTTCTCCACTAAACCGACCCAAACCAATTCACTTAAATTGAACCGACAAAATTCCCAATTTTTATTTTTGGTTTATGGATGTTACACAAGAAGAAATAAAAACACGAGTAGAATAAAAGAAGACGGTGGAAAACTTCGAGAACTTTTCAACCGTCTTCATCTAGATGAGAAACTTCGAGAAGAAGAAGAAAACTCAAGAGAAAAAATAAAACAAAGAAGAAGAAATGTAATGTGAAGAGAAAAAAAAAAGACAAATAAGAAAGAAATAAAAACTAGAATAAGATGATGTCAGAAAAGACGAAGATGATAAAGATAGAGAGAGGGGAATGAGGAAGAAAAAAAAAGAATAGTAAGTTGGAGGATATGAAGACACAAGAAATGATTGAAGAACGAAATTTTGAAAAAGAAGAAGCGGGAAAAAAAAGATGATGACAACGAATAAATAAATGGAAGAAAAAATAAAAGATGGGATCAGTGAAAAAGAATAAGAGGGAGAAGAAAATGACCATTACAAAATTTAACTAATTTTTTTTTTCTAGATCTTTCACAGTTTATAAGTTCATATCAAATTAACAAAATGTTAAGCTATTAATTCTTTGGAAAATAAACACATTACAAAAATATGAAAAGTAATTAAAAAGAAAATGCGTTCATCTAATATTAATTGAAAGGATTTGGAATTCTAAAACATCTATTGCACGCGCAGGCGCGCGGGCCAACCACCTAGTACTTAGTTTTTACTCCCTTTATCCCATACTCTTAAGTAACTTTAGCTATAACACACAATATTGAGATTTTGTTTCTACTTTTTATGTTTATTAGGATAAATTATAGACACTTAATTAAAAGAAGAAGAAGAAAAACAGCAAAAGTGACATTAATATTATGAAAATTACATTTTCTTTTTTGGTTTTGCATGTTTTAAACTAAAACAAGATTTTTTTAGCATTGAAATCTACAATTACTCGATTTAAACCGGATTTAAAAATTACTCGAGCCGGCTGGGTTCTGGTTTTTGCCGGTTTTTTTACCAGTTTTCTTGGGTCAATTGCAATTACGATTTTTCATTAAACTCAAACCGGGATGGCCACCGGTTCCCGGTTAAACCGGATCGACAGCCCGGTCTGCTTACATTATGGGATATATAGAGGGTGTATTATTTTCTTTTGGATCTTCGAACACTAATTGTTTTTTTTTACTGGAAAATCTTTTTTGATTTTAATTTCGGGTATTTGATTATTTTGTAAATTCTAAAGTTTGATTTTGATTTCAATGACTAGTTAAAATTAAAGATTTTAAAGTGGTTTAGGTCAAGAATAAGTTGGAGTAATAATTAGGAATTGTTTTAAATAAAGATATCTTTGTTGTCAGATTAATCAAAAACTGATTGAGCTACTGATGTAAAAACAAGTTGAATATGGCTAACTCTTACGCTCAAATAATGAGTGGCCCGCCAACTCTTTTAGTTATCACAATTCGTAAATTATCGTGTTTTTTTAACTAAACTGACAACCTAAAATCTCTAATTAGTTTAAGTCTAGGATGAGATCATTTGTGAGGGTTTTTTCATGATGGATAAGTTTTGGAAATAAGAAATGTTTTTTGGTATTTGGTTATTTTTTAAGTTCTAAAGTTTTATTTTTAATTTTTCAATTAAAGATAGAAAAGAGCTTTAGGTCAAGACTAAGTTGGAATATTAATTAGGAATTTTTTTAGTTAGAGATATTTTTGTTGCTAGATTAATCAGAAACCGATTGACTTACTCATGCAAAAACAAGTTGAATATGGCTGACTCTTACGCTCAAATAATGAGTGGCCCGCCAACCCTTTTAGTTTTCATAATTCGTAAATTATCGAGTTTTCTCTAACTAAACTGACAACTTAAATCTCTAATTGGTTTAAGTTTAGGATAAGATAACTTGGGAGAGGTTAATAAATCATGAATAAGTTTTGGAAATAAGAAATGTTATTTGGTATTTGATTATTTTGTAAGTTCTAAAGTTATGACTAATTCAAATAAAGATTTGAAAGAGGTTTAGGTCAATAATAAGTTGGAGTATTACTTAGGAATTATGTTAATTAGAGATATTTTTGTTGCCAGATTAATCAGAAACCGATTGACTTACTCATGCAAAAACAAGTTGAATATGGCTGACTCTTACGCTCAAATAATGAGTGGCCCGCCAACTCTTTTAGTTTTCACAATTCGTAAATTATCGATTTTTCTCTAACTAAACTGACAACTTAAAATCTCTAATTGGTTTAAGTTTAGGATAAGATAACTTGGGAGAGGTTAGTTTATCATGAATAAGTTTTGGAAATAAGAAATGTTATTTGGTATTTGATTATTTTGTAAATACTAAAGTTATGACTAATTTCAAGTAAAGATTTAAAAGAGGTTTAGGTAATAAGTTGGGGTATTACGTACTTAGGAATTTTGTTAATTAGAGATATTTTAGTTGTCAGATTAATCAAAAACCGATTGACTTACTCATGCAAAAACAAGTTGAATATGGTTGACTCTTACGCTCAAATAATGAGTGGCCCGCCAACTCTTTTAGTTCTCACAATTCGTAAATTATCAAGTTTTTTTAACTAAACTGGCAACTTAAAATCTCTAATTGGCTTAAGTCTAGGATGAGGTAATTTTTGAATTAAGTTTTGGATATAAAAAGAAGTTGTTTTTGGGTATTTGATTATTTTGTTAGTTCTAAAGTTTTAATTTTCAGAGAATAATTAATATAGGTTTTCAAGAATTATAGAAAGTTAAAGAAATAGAAAGAAACTAACCTTTTGTAACATTCCAGTTACGGAAAAAGAGGTGAAGAAGCATTGACAAAGGAGGCATCATCAATTCATCATCACCTGAAATATCAAGAAAGTACCTTTGCTAATGATTAGTTACGTCTTTATACACTTAATGATCTTAAACTTATGATCAAAATCCTTAACCATATCTGTTGCAATACACAAGAAAGTTTTCCTTTAGATTCTTTCAACTTCATATTCTCAAGATCCTTGACCTGCATGCATCATTTTAAGCGAAGTTTTTTTTTTTTTTTTTTTTTTTTTTAAGCGAAGTTTGGTAACCCTCAACAGAACATTCTGAGATTTTAATGGAACACTAACAACCAATAATGATCTATGTTAAGTTTCCTTAGCATCCAACCTAAAACCAATTGGCAATAGGTGGAGTGGCCTCAGTCCCTTATATATCGCTCCAGGTCCCTTCCCACTTCCGATGTGGGACTTTATTTGCACACTCTCTAGAGATTAAGGCCTTTCTGGCCCATTAACCTCTACATATCTCAATACCCTCCCTCGAGATAATGGCCATTCTAGCCATTAATCTCGCATACCTCAATCCTTGGGTCGGGGGGTCAGGCCCTTTCTGGGCCGGGTTGTGAGAGTGTGCGGATCAAAGCTCTGGTACCATGTTAAGTTTCCTTGGCATCCAACCTAAAACCAATTGGCAATAGGTGGAGTGGCCTCAGTCCCTTATATATCGCTCCAGGTCCCTTCCCACTTCCGATGTGGGACTTTATTTGCACACTCTCTAGAGATTAAGGCCTTTCTGGCCCATTAACCTCTACATATCTCAATAATCTATCAAAACCTTCTAATGGCAAGAACACATCTGTAGCTACTAGCCAGTAACTAAAGCTCTCTCGCAACTGTCCAAACGCAAATCTTTCAAGTTTATAAACGAAACTTAGAAAAAGATTGAATCTTTCTAAATTCCTATCACACACTAGAAACAAGGAAGATGGATTATATACCTGTACAAGCTATGAGGAATCTCCAAGACAACGAACCTCTCACACGTACTTATCAGTTGAGTGCAGTTGAGTGAATCCGGGACAGTCCCATTCTGGTCAATTAGCCAAACAGAGGAATCAAGACGTGATCTTTCGACACTTTGTCTCAATACTAATGAAGAAGAATCTACTTACAATGGAATTCTGTTTCATGTATCCCTCCATTTCCCTTCAAAATCAAACGACGAAATCCTCATTTAACCAAAACCTCAGAAGCAAATTAAGCACTAACCAATTCTGGAAGACAACAAGGTGCGAATCTTGAATTTCAATTGGTTATGTTGAGCGATTTACAGATGCGAAACAAACAAAATCCAGCATGTGGAAATTACGAACAACAGAAGCCCAACCACCTAAGGATTTAAACTAGTAACCATGTAAGCGAATCGATCAGGATCTAGAAACCGAAATCGAATGATTAAACAAGCGTAAACTGGAATCAACGCGAACGAAAATAAGAAAAACCCAAACCCTAGGGATTTCAACAAGCAATTCGAGTTTGTCAAAAAATGAAATCGAAAGTCATAGGAATCATACCTTCGCGACTCGGAATCCCAGCGAAGGATCGTCGCACTCATCCGCCGGAAGTATCGTCGATTCTCAGTTGCGTTGCTAACAAGGTTCGAAATTAGGAATCTCCGGTGAATGGTATTGGCTTTTGGAATCCGACGCAAAACGAAGCTAACGAAATCCGGAGAGAAAAATCGAGTCTCTTTTTTTCGATTTCTCTTTCGGAGATCAACAAAATTGAAAAGCTTGACGCAAAAGAAAGAAAACGAGAGAGACAGAGGAAGGCGAGACTATTATTTTGAATCTCTTCAGAGTCTGAGACTACCGTTAAAGCGCTATTTACATGAATCCCGATATATGGGCCTGAAATTTTAATAATGGGCTTTGGTACTTAAACCAAACCGAAATAACCAATTTCTCTTCTCTTCTTATTCTCTAGTCTAGTGACAGTGTGAAACTATACAAAGAAATCGTCGACTCACTCAAAAGGTAAGAAAGAGATGATCATTAATTAACTAACTAGTTTTGAGATTACGTGTTTCTTGTAAACTCATCAACAGGTTCATGTTCTGTTTATATAATAACAACAAAAGATCTTATGAATAATTTAGGAAAGTCAAGAATGATACAGCTAAAATACTTTAATTAATGTTACAGTTTTTTTAAATTCCTTACGACTTCATCAAAGCATCAACTGCTTTGTGTAAGGAACTACTACTACGATTTGAAGAACTTCCTCTACGTTTAAACAGAGAGTGAGGTCCGTTCCATACAGAACCGCGGTCGTCGTTGCTCGGGAAGAGAGCTTCGCAGAGGTTTAGAACCTTCGAGTTTCGGATTTGGAACTTCTCGTTTATCTTCGCTCTCCATTCTTTACGCTTCAACTCCTGCATTTCCTGCAATTAACGGAAGCAAGAACCATTAAATCTCAGTCGTAATCAAAACACAAAGCTCGAAAAACAAAAACTGACCTTTTGCTCTCGGAGTCGTTTCTCTTTCTCTTCTTCCTCGTTCTGAATCGATTTCGAAGCTTCGACAGAAGCTAAAACAACTAGTTTCTCTGCAGAGCTAGTCACAGGGTCATCACCAGCCTCTTCCATTACTCTATCAATGGATTGAGTCTTGTCCTCTACATTAGCTTCGGTTTTGTTTTCACTCTCTACCTCGAGAGTTTCTTCTTCCTCCTCTTTACCTTCTTCTTCTTCTTCCTCTTCCTCTACTTCTTGTTTGCTTTCACTCACTCTTTGTCGTTTTGCCACGGGACTATCTAGCTCCACGATCTCTGTGCTTCCTTGTCCGGTTTTGTTTTCGACGTCGACTTCCATGTCTTGCTCCTCACCCATGTTTATTGATGAGTTATCCACAGATGGACTTCCCACAGGTGAAGACTCCTTCAACAGAGAAAGATATTAAAGATTCTTATTAGTTATTACACTGAAGCCAAAACATGGTTGTGTGTGTGTGTTCTCTTTGCAAAAACTCTGGCACGGAGAGATATGTATACGTAAACAAAACATATTACTAACCTCTTGAGAGCCTTGACGTTCTCTTTTACGTCGCTTCAACACACATATCGCACACATACAATCACTCTTATGGTGCCTTCTGCAAACGAAAAATGATGACTATTAGTACCAAATGAGAAAATATTATCCCAAGAGCTCCGTTGAAAAACCAAATTTAGCTGCAATGTTGACTAAGATTGGCTATGTAGATACAGTAGACTTGTAAAAGATAACCTCTTGCCTATAAAACCTAGAACCTTTATGAAATTATGAAATCAAAATCAGGATAACAAGAACACATTTCAATATGTGGACAAAAAGTTACAAAGGCATACCCATGGCGTTTCTTCTGCTTTGATTGACTACCTTTGGTGGAAGCCTTGCCACCATCCTCTTGTTGACCAGTCTCTGTTGTAAACCGAAGAAACCAAAATAAGTTCAATAGTAAGCCATCAATGCATAGCTAGTCGATAAAATGCAAGCAATGTATTGGTTAACACTACTATCTAATAACAGCTCTGCATTGATATATCAGCAAAAACAGTTTGTTTAAAACAGAGTTGGGTTTCTTCTTCTTTTATCACTAAAATGTGCCATATGCATTTCAACAATGACATTTCATTTGCTATAATAAGCAAAAAATAAGCAATGACTCTTCAGGATATGTTCACAATGTCCACTTAATATGCCTTAAGTAAACCAGAAACGTAGATACCAAACTAACAATGCTTGAGAAGATGAATTGTAAGAATACCTGAAGATTGCTCAGTATACAATCCCGCAGAAGTCCAGTACTTCATGAAATTCTTCTTGACTCGCTTCATCAGGTCAACGATGTAATCGCCTTTCTTATTGTACTTGGAACAGTTATTCCAAATGTACTGGACATCCTTGTAAACATCCTCAGAGTTCATGTATATCTTGCCTTTCTCGAAGTTACTGCATATCGTTCCAAAATCCATAGGTGTCTTGATGATATCGAAATAGTCCTAAATCACATAACCAGAAAACAACATTCACAGCTGTCAGAACATCAACGCTGAAACAACTTAATCTATAGTGACAGGGGAAACAAAATGCACACTACAATTCAGTATCCATCTGTGTTAAGAGTTTAAGTTTGTCAAAAAAAAACTCATAAGACAGATGAAGAGTCACGAAATTCATAGTTCGATCATACGCCATTTTTTTCTTCTACTTTCAGATTTGTAACAAACTGCAAATCCATAAGAGCTAAGATATAAATGTTTGAAAACTCTTTAAAAGACAGAGATAGTAAACTCTGTATATATATAAGCCTAATATCTATTCCATGAACTAGAGCATTTATAAATCCAGTCAATTGAGAAGAAAAGTAATTGGTCTGCAAAATCATAAGTAGCTATGTACCTAGGAAGATTAACATAAATAGTTGAGCTTTTCACAAGCCAAGGTCTAATAAGTAACAAAACCTCCAAAAACAGAGCCTTTAATCAATAACCATGAAGCTAATATCAACACTTACAGGTATTCCAAGAGCTTCAGGGTTAACAGGAACATTAAATGGATCAGCAGCTTCCATCTTCATAATCTTCTTGATCACCTAAACCAATAATGACACCAAAACACATAAATCACATCAGGCAAAAATATCCAAGCTAGAGCAACAGTGAAGGTAGATATTATTAATCTGAACATACGGTAAGAGAATCATCCAGTTCTTGCTTATTGTATCTCGAATCTTGATCAGTCTTCTTGACCTCGTTCTGAGAAGACGAAACCGGCGCACTTTCCGGTTCTACTTCCACCTTCTTAACTTGAGAATCCTCCTTAGGCGTTGTTTTCGTTTCCTTTTCAACTACACTCACGTCCTGAACCTTAACCACAGCAGCAACAGCATCACCACCACCACTCTTCTCAGTAACCGAGCTGCTAGCTCCATCCACCGCCTTCGACTTGATCTTTATCCCTTTCGTCTTCCTATAAACATTCAGAAAAACCGGTTTACGAAGAACCGGTTCCTCCTTCTTCTCAACAACAGCCGCCACAACAGGTTTCTCTGGCTCCACTCGAGGAGGACTGCTCTTCTTCTTCTCGGTATCATCAGTAGTAGTTTCTGGTGCTTTCGAGGTCTTTAGTTTAACCTTGACACGCGAAACCGATGACGACGCAACGGGATCTACACTACTAGCAGAAGCAGCTATAGGTGGTGATGAATTGCCACTCACAGTGGAAGAAGCTTCCATTTTCGATGATTCGTGTTCGCTGTTTTCTTCGCGCTCAGCGGGAGGAGCTTCAGAGCTTTGCTCGGAGGTTTGCTTCTCGTTGGACTCATTCAAGGTCTCTTCTTCGGCGATGGATTTCGACTTTTTCGATTTCTTCCCTTTCTTATGTCCTCTCTTACGCTTCATCGCCTCTTATGAGAAATTCGACGAATTCGAATCTTCTGCACATACCAAATCAGAGAGATTTCAGTCAAATTAGACAAATTTGCTACAGAGAAACCTTCGATTCATGAAGCTAAGCTGAAGATCGAATCAGAAAATCAAATTGGAGACATGAAACACAAACAATTCGCAGTAATTTGTAAATCGAGAAATCAACAATCTATCACAGCCTAATAATCAAAAACAACCTTGGAATCCACCAAACAAAGGAGGGAAAAAAGCAGAGAAACCCTAAATCTACGGAAAAGCTAAGAGGCGAAGCAGAAAACGAGAGTTCTCGGTGAAGAGGAAGGAGATGAAGAGGGAGATTCAAAAAATTAGAATGAAAAAGTTGGAGGGAAATTGGATTATTTACCAAAACCGAAATTTAATAAACCCGAGACAAGAGCGCTTTTACGATTTCACAAACTCTCTTCGAACACAGACGATTTTTAGACGCCGAGGACGGAGATTATTAGAGCTTCTCTGCAAAATTTACTAGTTACGTCGTCGTTTCAACGTATGGGCTTTTAATGGGCCAGTAAACGCTAATGTGGGCCAACTCGTAAAACGCAGCGTTTTGAAAATAATAAAACACAACATTGTTTTGTGCGATAGGTTTATTTTTGGTTTTTAGTTCATTTCAAGACGAAATTAAAAAAAAAGGAAAGCAGCTGTAAACAATTAGTATGTGAAGCTTTATGCATATACATTTGTCAAATTAGCTACTTGAGCTATATTCTTTACTGTCACTTTAGCCAAGATGCTTGTGTTTTTTTTCTTTTTTTGGAACAGCTTTCAAGCCAAGACATGTTCAAACCATAAACAAGAATATTTTTAACGTTGTACTTCTATAAATTTCATATTCACAACGTTGTTAACTCTGTTTTCCTTACTTGTTTAGCAACTTATATGGATCTACTACTGATGATAGTAAAATTATTGGATCTGAATCGATTAGTAACACAAAAATGGTAAGGGATTATTATTATTTACGTAATGAAGAGTGGTAAAAAGTGGTGGAATGTTAAGTAACGATAAGAAATAGTATACTTTATCAGTTTTTCTCCTATATACAATAAAAATGTATGCATGATTAATAAGAAAAAACAAAGAAAACTACAAATGTAATAATAATATTTAAAAACTTGCAAAACTGTTCTCTTCATCTAAAGTCTCTCAAGGAAAGGGCATCATCAAACTTGGAATATAAAGAGAGCAATAACGTAACTCACCACCAACCACATCATCTAATTTAATCCTTCTGCAAATATCTTCCCTTACAATATAGACACAAAGCTGTCCTGTTTCGTCGTTACAACATGTGACGAAGCTCTTTCCATACAAACTATCATCAACCAAGTACCTTTTAGTGTGAACCTGACTTAAAATGGGTAAATTGGGTAATGAGAGACTCATGAACTTAATCCACTCCACATCGACTCCATGATCCGCATTAGTAATTTTCTTCTTTGTCACCCAAATCTCAATGTTTCTTGTTTTTCTGCATTCTTCTAGCAACGAAAACCGATCTCCCTTGAAAGCCACGAGGACAGGACTATGGCAAGAATCTTTATTCTTACACCGTATAGTACAAAAAGGCTTAAATATCTCTTTCGAACAATCGAGGATTCGGATGGAGACAAGTTTCAAGATTATAATTAGAAATCCAATACAAATTTGGGTAATTGCAATAGATATAGACAGATAACTGTGAAATTAGTTGACAGCATCTGACAACTTTTGGCCTTTACTATTTAAATCAAAAAGTCATATGTATCCCTATAGGCGAGTGGATTTCATCTATCGCTTGTTACAAATGTATGTGGGTCCATGTATTATTTCATAGTATTTTATTATTTATTTTGACTTCTATATTAAAATAATGGTATCTAAAAATAAGAGATACGAGAAAGAAGGAAGATATAGGAGACATATAGATGAAAGTGATTGAATTCCCGTATCGGGATTGATCTCATTACTTGGCATTATATAGCCAGAGTTGTTACAGATATTTAGGGATTTACAAACGGTCATAAGACTCGGAATGAGATCTAAACTAAATGATTTACATAGTTACAAAGGAGTATATTCGCATATTCTATCACCCTCCCGCAGTTGGAGCGTCGGGACTCCTGACGGTCAAGCTGGAACGAAAATCCTCGAAGAGCTTTGTTGGAAGTCCTTTAGTGAATATATCTGCATATTGTAGAGAGCAAGGAACGTGAACTACCTTGACTTGGCCAATAGCTACCTTCTCACGAACAAAGTGAATATCCAGCTCAACATGTTTCGTTCGTTGGTGTTTGACCGGATTATGAGAAAGGTAGACGGCACTTATATTGTCACAATAGACAAGAGAGGCCTTGGTGATCGGGCAGCCAAGTTCAAGAAGTAAGTTACGAATCCAACATAGCTCAGCAACAACATTGGCAACTCCTCTATATTCTGCCTCAGCACTTGAACGGGACACTGTTTGTTGCCTTTTAGAGGACCAGGAAACCAAGTTACCTCCTAAATAAACACAGTAACCAGATGTTGATCGTCGTGAGTCTGGACATCCGCCCCAGTCCGCATCAGTATATGCAGTTAGCTGATCAACCTTGCCTTTCAGCAGCTGTAAGCCATGGCCTTTTGTCCCTTTTATGTACCGAATGATGCGCTTCAGTGCTTGATAGTGTGGTTGACGTGGAGCATGCATGTAGAGACAAATCTGATTTACTGCATAAGAGATATCTGGGCGAGTAAAAGTGAGATATTGCAGTGCACCGGCCAGTTGACGGTATTGTGTCGGGTTGGGAATTAGTTCACCAGAATCACTTGATAACTTGGATTTGAGATCCACTGGCGTGGAGCAAGGTTTGCAATCTTCCATGCCTGCTCGCCTGATAATGTCCTCTGCATATGCCTTTTGTGACAGGAAAATTCCACCATTGACAAAGTCAGCCTTAACACCGAGGAAGTAATGTAATTTTCCGGACTTTGACATGGGAAATTCTTTCTTCAACGAATCGATTATCTGTTGGAGAAACACTTTGTCTGAGGCTGTCAAGAGTATGTCGTCAACATATAGAAGGAGATATGCCTGCTTATTTCCTTTCCTGTAAATAAACAGAGAAGGATCGCTTTTGCTGCAGACAAAACCAAGATCAGTGACATATTTCGCAAAACGAGAATTCCATGCCCTCGGAGCCTGTTTTAGGCCATATATGGCCTTACGGAGTCGACACACATGATTGGGAAATTGCTTGTCTGTGAAGCCAGGCGGTTGGTGCATATAGATCGTTTCATCAAGTTCGCCATGCAGAAAAGCGTTTTTCACGTCTAGTTGATGTATCGGCCAGTCACGTGCAAGACTCACATCGAGGACCGCTCGTATCGTTCCTGGTTTAACAACAGGACTGAAAGTCTCGTTGTAGTCAATGCCTTCCTCCTGTGATTTCCCATTGGCCACCAAACGTGCTTTGTGGCGATTCAAAAATCCATCTGCATCAAGTTTATGTGTATATCTCCACATACATCTCACAATGTTAGTATCCGTAGGTCTAGGTACAAGATCCCATGTCTTGGTCTTAATAAAGGCATCATACTCATCAGTCATGGCTGGTGTCCAATTAGGATCAGAAAGAGCTTGGATATGAGAGTTTGGAATGGGTGAAACAGTTGTGAGAAGAGAGAAATGTGTTTTTGGTTTACGAATGCCATGTTTACTCCTGGTTTGCATTGAGTGTCCAGGTGGGTTTGGAACACTCGGAGGAGTTACAGTAGGCAGGGAAGGAATTGAGGGCTGTGGAGGAGCTGTGGAAGGAGGAAGTGATGGAGTCTGAAGAATTTCTTTAAAAACAGGGGAAGGTTCATCGTCGATATCGAGAAAGTGATAAGACGTGGTGTTGTTGGTTGTAACAGCAGCTGGGAAAATGGTTTCATCAAAGAAGACATGACGGGAAATGATTATTTTATTGGTTTTGAGATCCAAACACCTGTATCCTCGATGCTGAGATGGATATCCCAAAAAAAGACAAGGTGTGGATCTCGGAGACAGTTTGGGAAGATTTGAGTGGTTTAGGTTGGGAAAGCAAAGGCATCCAAATACTCTCAAATGAGTATATGTCGGTGTTCTGTTGAAGAGAGTGGTAAAGGGTATTCGATTGTGAATGGATGAAGAGGGGAGAATATTCAAAATGTGAACTGCAACATGAAGAGCCTCAACCCAATATACTGGTGAGAGTTTTGCTTGGAATAGAAGAGCACGGATTGCATTATTTATGGTGCGGATCATCCTTTCAGATTTTCCGTTTTGCTGAGAGGTATGAGGACAAGAGAAGCGAACCTGAATTCCTTTGGTATCGAAATACTTGAGAAATTCAGAATTTTTGTATTCTCCCCCATTGTCACATTGAATAGCTTGAATGTGAGATTGGAATTGTGTTTTGATGTATGCCTCAAAATGACGAAATTTGGAGAAGACTTCACTCTTACGACGAAGGGGATATACCCATAAGAAATGAGAGTGATGATCGAGGAATAAGACATAGTATTTGATACCACTCATACTTGGAATTGGTGATGTCCAAAGATCAGAGTGAATCAATTGAAAAGGCTTTGAAATTGAGGAATTAGAAGGTAAAAACGGAAGCTTTATTTGTTTTCCCAATTGACAAGCCATACATGAGGAAGAGAGACTGTCATTATTACAAGAGATAGACTTAGAAGAAATAATTGAACGCAAAGAGGCATTATTGGTGTGAGCAAGCCGTTTGTGCCAAAGATCCTGGCGAGCAAGCAAGGAGAGCTGTGGATGATGAATGATATGGAAGATGGGCTGTGGGAAGCGGATACAACTCGCCGGTGCTGTTACTGCGGAGCAGAGTTGTCCGAGACTGAAGATCCTTCACAGAAAACCCAAAAGGATCAAATTCAACAGAACACCAATTATCTCTTGTGAATTTACGAACAGAGATTAAGTTTTTCACAATCTGAGGAGTGATAGTTAGTTAGTTAGTTAATAGTTAATTATTTTTCAGTAGCACTTGGTTTCTTTACTTCTGTAGCCAAGACTTATGTTTTGTTTTTTTTAACAGAGGCTTTCAAGCCAAGACTTAGGTTCAAAACATAAACAATAATATTTTTTACGTTGTACTTCTATAAATTTCATATTCACAACGTTCTGAATTCTGTTTTCTTTACTTGTTTAGGTACTTATCAATGAATCTACTACTGATCGATGATGGTAAAATTATTGGATCTGGATCGATTAGTAACACAAAAATGGTAAGGGGTTAGTATTATTTACGTAAAGAAGAGTTGTAAAAAGAGGTGGAATAATAAGTAACGATAAGAAATAGTATACTTTTTTTTTCAGTTTTTCTCCTACATGTGATACAATAAACGTAAAACAATTAAATTAAAAATCTATGTGAAACATAAAAATGTATGTAAGATAAATAAGAAAAAACTCAGTGTGAAAGTAGTACGATAGACTAAACTCTTTCCTGTTTTCTGCGCATAATAAAACACAGCAAGAACACACAGGAAGTTTGGCTTTAATTGACCTTATATGAATTAAGAGTTGGAGATTTGCTAGTTAAAAACCAAAGACAAAGAAAACTACAATGTAATAATAAGATTTAAAAACTTGTAAAACTGTTATTGTTCTCTTCATCTAAAGTCTCTCAAGGAAAGGGGATCATCAAACTTGGAATATAAAGAGAGCACCAACGTAACTCACCAACCACAACATCTAATTTAATCTTTCTGTAAATATCTCCCCTCACAATATAGACACAAAGCTGTCCTGTTTCGTCCTTACAACATGTGACAAAGCTCTTTCCATAGAAACTAGCATTAACAAAGTACCTTGAAGTGTGACAATGCCACAATATGGGAAAGTTGGCTATTGAGACACTCATGAACTTAATCCACTCCACATCGTCTCCATCATCCGCATTAGTAATTTTCTTCTTTGTCACCCAAATCTCAATCTTTCTTGTTATTCTGCATTCTTCTAGCAACGAAAACCGATCTCCCTTGAAAGCCGCGAGGACAGGACTATGGGAAGAATCTTTATTCTTACACCGTATAGTACAAAAAGGCTTAAATATCTCTTTCGAACAATCAAGGACTCGGATGAAACACCGACCAGTTTCGAAACAATAATTAGAAATCCAATACAAATTTCCATTCATGGACACATTATTAAACCACAATAAAGAATATCTACCCTGTTTTGCTGGGTTGTGGGCATCATCATCAAAATACTTCCAAGAATTGCTTGCAAATTCATAAATGACATACCTCACGAGCTGAGATAAAATATAACCAACAAGCTTGTAACTCTTTTCTGGTCTACTACTATCGTATCCCATGCCACATATATGGAATGAGTCAGGCATTTCATTGATCTCAATCAATCTAGTCCGTCTCAACCACGGGTTCCAAACCGTGGCTGTTTTAACCGTTTTATATGAGTAGAAGAACCCATCGCAGGGAAGTGTTACTAAACGGCTAATATCCATTGACATCAACTCACGTACGTTTATATTTGGATCTTCCTCATTGAGATCGAAGCTTACCGAATAAATCTTAGAATCGGTATATATCATGAACTCGAATTCTGAGCGTGAGCGAGCACATGCGAAGTGGTTGTTAATGAATATCTTATCGTCGAAAAGAGTGTTCCATTGTTTGCAAACGGCTCTGAAGCGATGGAGAGAGAGAGGTGGAATCCTAGTGAGTATCTCTTCCTCTAACTCTAGCGGAAGCTTTGTCGACACCATTAGGGTTTTCTACTTTTCTTTCTTTTTTTCCTTTTTCCTCATCCTAGCGAAAAATCTACAAGGAAACCCAATTTTAAGGTCTGGTAACGTGAGCCCTTTTTATATAGGGAAAACAAATAATGTAATCTGACGGTTGTGGTTTAATTTGTAGCGATAGATCACTGTTTCTGAACGTACGGCTAAGATTTGATCGAGTGTCAATGTTATAAAGAAGACCATATTTTGTGCAATAGGTTCAATTTTTAGTTCATTTCAAGACGACATTGAAAAAATAATTTGCATAACAAAAGTCCTAGAGTTCATTCATTAGCCGTTCACATGCTAATCTATTGCCCATTTAATGTACTTAGTATATCAATAATGTATACAATAAGTTCACTATTCATATACTAAGTACATTAAATGATATACTAAGTACATTAAATGGGCCATAGATTAGCCAGTGAACGGCCTTTTGCATGCTAGTATTTAAACTTCATATAATCTTGCGTTTCTAGTCTCTCTTTTTTATCTTCTTTTCTTGTTGAGAAACGAAAACAAGCTTGCGTTTTTTTCTTGTTGACTTTTGTGCTCTCATCGCGATGGAAGAGCTCCAGCATTTTTCCCATGAATGTGCGTTGACTTCGCAAGAGATCGTAGCGGAAAACATCTGCAGCATTTGCTACAAAGACAAACCTGTCCAATTCGCTTGTAAGCCTTGTAATTTCAATCTATGTAAATCTTGCTCCGATCTGCCACAGAAGGTGTCACATGAGTTTCACTCAGAACATCCTCTAGAGTTTTGTCTAGGCCAACATGAACGAAAGCCTGGATACGTCGTATGTTCTGGGTGTGGGGACATGGCTTCTGGATCCTTCTACGAGTGTAAAGAATGTGAGATTTACCTTGATCTGACTTGTGCCCTCCTGAAAAATCTGGTCACTGGTTGGAATGTCAAAGAAATGCTCCATTACAGCCACAGCCACATGCTTAGGAGGAGCCGACCAGGACCAGACGCTAAGGGCTCTTGCACACTTTGTGAGCTTCCTCTCTCTCCGTCTTCAATATGCTAAGGTTGTGTCCATTGCTACTCGTTTTTCCACGAGGTATGCCTTGATCTTCCCACAGAGATTCAACATCCGGTGCATCCGAGACACCCTCTTAGACGCCTTGACTTCACACAGTCTTGTGGAGATGGAAAATATTGCAATGCGTGCAAACTTCATATCGACGGTGTTCCATTTGGTTGCCTAGAATGTTCTTTTGACCTTCATCTAAGGTGTGCAGATTCACTGTTGCGAGGTCTCATGCACAAGTCTCATCAGCACATGTTGTTTTATGTACCTAATGATGCTAGTCGTGTTTTAACAAAGAAAAGTCCTTGTCAAATATGCATGGTAACTAATGCGAGCTCTATTGATTTTTATTATCAATGTGTGCAATGTGATGTGAACTTCCATTTTGAGTGCCTTGAAATACCTGAGTCAGTGGTCAAGAAATCTTGTCACATTCACCCACTCGTGTGTAAAATAAGATTTATAGCCGGGAGCGATTCTATGGAGTATTGTGGCGTTTGCGAGACCAGGATAAACTCAAGACATCATGCTTATTCTTGCGAAGAGTGTGAATTTTTTTGTCACATTGAATGTATTCTACGCAAGGTACGTACATAACATGTCATTTATGTAATACATTTCAGCTATATTTGTTTCTAAGTGATAGATGATGACAATGATGTGCTACTCTTACTCGTAACCAACAGGAACGGCCCTCACCATTGTACGTGAAAGATCTGTATCCTGGTGGCGGAGTCATCCCAAGGCCAACAGAAAGAAACAACTTTGAACCCATTGCATTGGCAAAAAAAATTGTGGTATAGTGTTAGATTAACATGTTTTGATGTACATGGGTTGCTTTGTTTAGGCGAGCTTCCCTTAACATTTCTTTGGGGTATATAATTGCAGGTTACGGTTTATACTGGAAAGGTCCGAAGTAATCATATTCATGTGATGAGACTATTCCACATGACTGAGCTTGGTGAACTTGCATTTTGCAACATATGTAAAGAAAGAATTCTTGATAGCCCATGGAAATGCGAGATTTGCAGTTTCCTGGCACATAATTTCTGTGTAGAGTTGGGGGAGCCATCAAGACATCGACTACACTCGAAACACCCTTTGACACTCTTGTCCATGCCCCCTGCACGGTATGTGCTGAGTTGTGACATTTGCAAAGGGGATATAGATGGTTTCAATCTTTTTTGTCGGGTATGCAATTTTATCACCGACTTGAGTTGCGCCTTGAAACAAAAACATTTTCTTGGGGTTTTAGGGCAGAAATTAGTCGGAACCATAGACGCACCTTGTATGACCGGACAACACACCATGGCTGTAGTTGTCGTCTCGAGGTCGTATCCAGCTCCTTGCGGTATTTGTGATGAGATTTTGAATGGAAAAGCAGTGTCATGTTTGAAGTGTGAAGAGATATATCATCATCGTTGTTTTCTTTTCCGGAGACGGTATGTATTCGGGCATCCACTTCATTCTGATCATCCGCTTGAACTTTTACTTAAAAGTGGATCCAAGTGCATTGCCTGCAAACTGAATATTACAAAGTATGGCTATCATTGTTATGTATGCCACATCAGTATCCATACTAAGTGCATCGCAGCTGTGGATGCGAAGTCTCACTACCACTATCTCTACCACTTTTGGATGAAGGACTCAAAGTTGAGTCGGGTGTGTTGTGTGTGTGGCACACGATGTGGTGAATCATTCTACGGTTGTATTGAATGTAACTTCAACGCCCATGCAGAGTGTATTGGATTTCCATACAATGTGAAGAACCTAAGACATCAGCATACGTTGGAGCAACAAATATCTTTTGGTGGCGGTTATTTGTGTTCTCTGTGTGGATTAGAATGTCCCATCAGGTTATATGTTTGCAACCATTGCAAGAAAGGGTTTCATACAGAATGCATAATGTCTATGGTAAGTATTTAATCTATCAATGTTCTAGGACCCATTCCATTTTCTCTTTCTCATTTGAGCATTTTGTATTTTTTTTTTATGTTAATTAGGGTGACCGTGAAGCTGCAACAGAAGAAGAACAGCTTCGGGACATCTATATTATGTACATTGAGCGGGATCTTTGCAACTTGGTTGGAGAGACTGAGTCTTAAGTTGCTTCTGAGGTTATGGCAACTTCTCTTATCCGAGGTTATGCCTCAATTTCAGTTCCTCTCATATTGTCTTCTTCTATCATTTTATGTTGTGTGTTGATAATTATTTTGTACTTTATCTATTAAATTTTGTTGATTTGGTTATTATTTTTGGTACTATGATTTAATTGTTGTTTTTTACCGCTTGGTGAGGACATGAGAAATTACTCATTGTAGTTTTGGTCTT